ACCGTCATCGTGGCGATGTCCCAGCGGTGTTCAGGGTCGGCATGCACGCCAGGGTCGAGCTCCGGCAGGTCTCCATCCTCCTCGGCATCGTCGTACAGCAGGTCGTCGTCGACCTCGTCGTACACTGTGGTGAAGGCAGCTGGCGGTAGGCAGAATGGAAGCTCAACCACTCCGGCGGCCGTCGGGCTCAACTTGTGCGTCGCAGCTAGGGCTTCGTGATCGGCACTTCCATTACATCGCTGTCGGTGGACTCCTCAGCCGCCGACTGCTCCCCTTTCTTGTCGACGAGAACGTCATCGACCAGCTGCTTCGACCCTTCGACCGGCTGTTCGTCTCCTGCTACCTTCGACAACTCTCATGTCGACCGCTCCGGCTGCTGCTCCCCTGTCCAGTGTACCCTTGCTGTTGCCTCCTGTTCGACCGGCTCCCCTGTCTGGTGCTCCCCTGTCGTTGTCGGCTTGCCATCTTGGTCGACGAGCTTGGCACCCTGTCGACCGCCGGCGATGCCATGGGCCGGCGCCACAGGCGACGCCTCAAGGCTCCCCTCATCGTCGGTGGGCGACACAGGTGCCGACCAAGGCCGATCTGCGACGGGGAACGGAGGAGCAAAGACAGGGGGAGGGGAAAGAACCTCCACAACATCCTGATCACCGGGTTCGTCGACTTTGGCGAGCAACGGAACCGTCACTGTCGATGTATCTGTTGGCGGGTGCGCCTGCGTCCGCTTAAACGCCGGCCCATACTTCGCCTTCCACACCTCCAGCGACAGCGTCTCGTAGAAGATCACCTCGACCGACGTGACCACCGTGTTGTAGGTCAGGTCGAGCACGTTCCAGCCCTTGCTCTCTGGCGACACACCCAGGTGAAGTCCCCAGCGAGCCTTCGGCGCCAGCTTCCCACCACGTTGCTGCTCGGGAACCATGAACTGCACCATGCAGCCCCACACCCGCGCCAGCATAAGGTCGGGCTTCTGCCCGGTCAGCAGCTGGTACGGAGTCGTCCCCGGCGGCGTCGTCGACCGCTCCAAGCAGTTGCGCAACCAGACAGCTTGTCGTAGAGCAAGGTGCCACCAGTGGTGCTGCACGCTCATGTGCAGCAACATCGTCCGCACGGACTAAACGGCCGTGCGCATCTCCCGCTCAGCCATGCCATTCTGCTGCGGAGTGTAGGGGCACGTCAGGTCGTAGACGATGCCCTTCCCGTCGACGAAGTCGGTGAATGCCTTCCCGAGGAACTCCCCTCCTCGATCAAAGCGAAGCGACAGCACCGACTTCTTCGTCTGCCGTTCCACTAGCACCAGCCACCGCTGGAACTCCCGCAGCACGTCGCTCTTCCGAGCGACCGGCATTGCCCATACAAATCGAGTATGGCGATCCTTCAGCAGCAGGAAGTACAGGCTGCCATCCTTGGCAGCTACTCGAAATGGCCCGCACAAGTCAATGTGCACGACAGCCAGCGCCTCCGCTGCGTCCGAGCCCTTGGCAGGGAAGGTGTGCCGCGCCAGCTTTCCTCCGACGCACGAGACACACGGCGGGTCTGCTCTGGTCAACGGCGTGATGTCGAGCCCAACAGCAACTCCATGCTTTGTCAAACTCTTGATCGTGTCGACGCCGACGTGCGCGAGCCTCGCATGCAGCCGATCAGGGGTCGCCTTTGACGCCGAGACGATCGTCCGTAGAGCCACCATCTCGGTCAACGGCGACTGTGTCGAGCAGGGGCGAAGGTCGGTGCAGAGGACTTGTCTGGTGTAGCGTGCTCGACCGAGCACCTCCCCAGTCATAGCAACGAGCATCATCCCGTCGCTGTCACCCTGCAGCTGCACTCCGCTCTCCTTCAGTTGGCCGGCTGACAGCAGGTTCGCCTGAACACCCGGAACGTAGAGCACGTCGAGGATGAGCACCCGCTTCCCGGCCTCCCCTTGCAGAGCTACAGTTCCACGACCCTCGACAGACTGTAATGCCCCGTTGAGCCCACGCACATGCTTCACTCCGTCGCTCGGCACATGTCGACGAAGACCGACTTCGTCCCCATCAGGTGGTGGGAGCACCCGCTGTCGAGCAGCACCGCCATCGGGTTGGTCTGCACAGCTGCTGCCACCGCCTGGAAGTCCTCGCCAGCCTCCGGTGCTAGCGAGACCGTCGGCTCCACCACGCCGACCATCGAGCACGACGCCTCCCCGTCGCCTCGGCTCTTGCCGCTGGAGCTGTCGACGTCCTTCGTCGAGGTTGTCTTCTTCGACGCTTGCTTCTCCTTGCGCGGCTTCTCAACTCGACGGGGGCGACGACTGGCCGATCGACCGCGGCCTTCCTTGTTGTCGTCCTCGTCGCTGTCATCGCGGTCGGGGCACTCGAAGGAGAGATGGTCGGGGTCGCCGCAGATCCAGCACTCCCGTCGTCGACCACCACCTCGTCGACCCTTGTCCCGCGTCGACCTCTTCTCGTCGACGTCCTTCGTCGACTGCCCACCTCCGCTACCACCTCCGCATGGCTTCCCGCGCTGCTCTTGCTGACTATTCGTCTTCGTCGCCCCGCCATCCTTATCTCAGCTAGGATCCGTCGAGCTCGGTTGCAGTAGTCCGTCGCCGACTCCTGCTCGCCCATTCAAATGTGAGTCATCTTCTCCTCTAGCTGTCCGATGTACAAGTCGTCCCTGGCCTGGTACGTCGACATGATGAAGTGCCATGCCTGGTGACCAGCATCCAGTTGCTCTCGACAGCTCCTGAGCGCTAGCTGCACCACTGGCGAGCAGCACCTCGAGATGACCATGAAGGTGAGCAGGTGAGCAAAACGAAACTCCCTGCGTAGCTCGACATCCTCCTCGGGCGGAAAGGGCACGGTGCCATCGGCGAAGCCCTTCAGCCCAGCGTCCTCTAGCTGAGGTTCAATCGACTCCCTCCAGGTGATGAGGTCCCGTCGACCTTGCAGCGGTGCGACGGCGATCCGGTCCGGCGAGAACTTGAAGTAGCCATACGCCGGTGCAATCCTGCCCGTCATCACGTGTGTCGTCACCGAGAGCCCGCCACCCCTTCGTGGAGGAGAACGGCGTCGAACATCGACGTCGGCACGCAAGCTCTCTGCAGCAGCCGTCGACCGCTGCACTCGCGCCTGGATTCCGTCGACACCACCGTCGACCTTGATCACTCCTCTCTGCTTCGTGCCTTCGCTGCCGCTGACTCGTGCACCACCGTCGACCTCGTCGTCGACGCCACCTTCGTTGCGCACCGGTCGAGGAGAAGTAGGACGGGAAGGGTGTTCCGTCGCCCACTGCGATCGGATGCCCAACTCGGCGATCACCAAGGGGATCGTCCCGTACTCGCCATCCGCGTGGCGTCTCCTCGCGTCAGCCAAACGTGCCTCCAAGGTGTCCGCTACACCCGCATTAACTATGGGGTCGACCATGGCGACTATCGCTGCTGTCGGCCTACGAACGACTTAGTAGGTGCAAAAGTCGGCTCCTATCTGAAGGTCGCGTGTTCGCTCCACGCTCACCGCACCATGCGGAGATTCACTCTACAACGGTAGTGAGCTAGACAACAGGGGTTGGCACGAACTACTAGAGGTGATCGTAGCTTTGTTTGGTTCCTTAGTGTTTACACATTCACGGGAGAAATTGGCAAGAGTTTCTACTAGCAAAGTTGGAATTCCAGAATCAGTCCAACAAGAGATGGCAACAATGACTACATCAGGCACCTAGCAACCCTGCTGCTAGCCTGGTCGACCGCCAGCACAGCTCGGTCGACCGCCTGCCAGCGTTGCGTAGAGGAGCCACGCCAGCACTGCAGAAAGGCGACCTGCCAACGGAGCAGGTCGACGGCGTGCCAACGCTGCAGCAGAGCGGCTGTACAGCGTTGCCCCGTAGAACACAGTAGTGTGCACGCTCGCAGGTGTGCGCAGACGATTGGCCCGACTTGCCTCGTTGGGCATTCGTCGGCTGTTGTCTGCACCTGACGAGCCATATCGACTCCGGGATACCAGTCCGCAGTCGCCTGCGCCATCGCAACCTCGACGACGTTCGCGTGCCTCTAGTCGACATCAACACCAGACGGTCCCCTGCAGCTCGACGAAGCCTGTCGAGCAGCTCTCCCACTGTGAACGGTCGGTTGCTACTCCCGTACATCCGACCAAGTCGTCGGCGTTGCCCAAGCGAGGGCGGGGCCAACACTCCATTCCTGTTAACAGGGCCTGGGACTGAGGTTGGGGAAAATGTCGAAGCGGAGGCCCGGAGCGCGGGTTTACCCGCCGAGCCGTGAGGTTGGGGTGCGACGTGCGAAGGTGGCGGGAGGATTGTCGATTTGAGGGTTTCGAGTGGTAACGGTTGTGACTGTGGTGCTACAGTGGTGTACGCGTTGAGCGGTGACGCGAAGTTAGGAAAAGGAATTTTCCTTACACTCTACAATAAGGACCCAAGATAGCAAGAAGTGGAAACGGTCCCTCCCACCATAGACCACCTGTAAAAACATATGAAACTGATATCCTGAAAGTGTAATTTGAAGTTGCTTCGGAACCTCGTTTTTCTCCTTCACAAACCAGACTGGAGGGTTCGTTCGACTACACCTTCGGGTCGTTATCCTGATTGGTGGGCGACGGGGCGAACGTCATGACCAAGCCGTGGCGCGCCGTCGAAACTGTAGCTGCGGCCATCGTGCGGCATATCCAGAATACGAGGCCTTGTTTTCAAATTCGTACGATGGCTGAAGCTGGGTTTGTTTCGGCACCTAAATCCTTCAATTGTAGTTGAATGCAGCACGTCCTTGAACCAACGAAACATAATGCGTGCCATTCGACTTGATAGATACAAGCCCTTTCAGCTATCATGCAGAAGTTACTACTTCCAATATGAGTCGATCAGGCCCAGGGTTGAGGTTTCGATTTCCCAAACCTAGACCAAACCCATGGTTTACCAAACCTTACACGACAGCTTCGAGGGGGATTGGAAGCTACTGACGTGGATCCATACCGAAGCTGAAACTGGCACGTCACCTACTCGTAAAGCGAACCACCATGCTCATAACAACCTATCACCTTTGGTCAGTGGTGTGTGAAGCGGTAGGTTCGGCCCTTTTCCAGCCGAGCCCTGAACAAAGTCTGCCTCTCGGGACAGGCGGCCAAGCTGAAGTAAGTTTTACGCCCAGAACCATTAGTATCTATCTAGGTCACTCAGTGAAGAAAACCGCTTCTGTCAGCAAAATATTTTGTCTTTTTTTGTCAAATTTGTTCAGCTTCGTCCTGGGAAGGAGCGCTGCTGCTAAATATTAGATACCTCTTTTGGCCATGGCTCAATCTTCGCTGGTCTACTTCGTCCTAATTCTGGGATGCGCCTGCTTTGTTTCCGCCAGATTCCTTCCTATCTCGTCACCGGTCGTGACTAAGCAGCAGCCAATAAATGCACCAGTAGACCTGTCCGTTAATCTGGACCCAGATCCCTTCGAAACTCTAAAGAAAAACGGCCTCCCGGTCGGCCTGCTGCCGAAGACTGTTATCAAGGCTGAAATCAACAATCAGGGATGGTTCCGAGTGCAGTTACCGTCCACGTGTCGCACATCTGTGCACAACACGGGTGAGATTCCTCTTTACTACTCAACCGTTCTTACCGGCAGGCTGCAGTACGGGTTAATTTCAAGCGTCAAAGGAATCTCAGCGAAGCCTCCAGAATTGCCGTTTTGGGTCTCCGTGAGATCGATCTATGTGGACGACGCCACTTCAAGCTTGATCCACTTTTCTGTTGGATTCGGGATCAGCGAGCAGCTGCCTCGAGCGGCCTTCGACGACTTCCCGGTCTGCCAATCCGGCGTTGACACGCTTCTGGAAACTCAGGACGAGGACTCGCTAGAGTTCCGCGCTCAGGAGGAGCCGTTTGAAGTCGCGATTCAGGAAGCTGTTAAAGAGGCAGAAGAGGAGGAAGCTGCAGAGGTGGCTGCAGCAGAGAACGGGGATGCGCAGGATCCTGCGCTCGTTGTCGTTGAAGAAATGACTCTTGATGACTCCTCAGGCGAAGAAGAGACTGAGGCTTCTCTAGAGGAGCATACGTCTGGTGAGGTTCAGGCCACAGCGGACGATGCTGCTGATGCTGATGAGAGATTGATGGATGGACCGACAGAGGAGGACCAGCAGCAGGGTGGGGGACTTCAAGATGAAGTTGCTGTGGCTGCAGCCTGATGGTCGAGCAAGGGTCTTGTCAGTTCAGGACTGGATGAGGCAAGGGATTGTATGAATACTGGCATTGCATGAGGGTAGTCTAGGCTGGTTGAGTTGGCTGCAGGACATCTCAGGAAGGGGACTAGTCAGATTACGGTACGTTTTTGGCACCATGTTTCTTTGTACAGGTCAAGTGACTAATAAACGTTGGCTGTAATACAATTGATGCCTGTTTGAGCCCCTCCTGGTTGCCTTGTGAAGGGGGCGTATGAGCTGTATCGAGAATTTCGCGTAAGTTTCGTCAATTCGCAGATAGCTAAAAAGGATTCGCAGGTGCTTATTGTTATGAACAATAATGCTTGAATATTACTGTGCACTCCTCACTGCAGCAAAGAGAAGCACGCCGTAATGCGAATGAACGCGAAGCGTCAGACGGTTGGAACGAATCTGAACCGTCGGAGCAGACAGCATCAGGCAACTACAGGCAGGATGGTTTCGGCGGGAACAGTTTCGTAACTGTTCGCGCCGCACAGTTGGGAATGTATTTGAATAAGGGAATGTACCCCTTAGAGTACATGGCTAGCTAGGTCGATTCATATTCCCCTGTACTCTTATTTATATCGTTGTATCTGCAAGTCTTAATCATCTCAAGCATTTACATTCACTCTGCTATTGAGGTTAATGGCCCACCAACACCACTTCTCTGTGTGCGAACCTTCCTGAGTAGATCCTGTTGGAAACAATAGTTCCTAAGCGCCTCTGTGGTGTCGAAACACTAAGGCACAAGCGAAGCAGAGCATATCGAGGCACCGGCAAGTCAACCCTCGGAGGTTGAAGTAACCGCTGGAGGTTATGCGAAAGTCAAAGGTCAGCGACCTTTGACCTGACAAATGCAGCGCGACAGCAAGGACACACAACTGACTCTTTACAGAGCAGTTGCCCGAGTCGTCACTATATCGAACCGCAACAGCAACAGTAAAGTAGTTATAATTGTGTCTCTTCATATTCTTTGTATTCCTATATAATCTTGTATCTCTTTGCTTTAATCAATTCACTTTGCCCTCACATACTAGCGCAAGGTGGTTCACAAACTCTTCATTAAGACGCTTCCGCTACTACATCAACTCTACCCAGAATTCACCTCTGCAAAGATCCTAAGGGCTTTTTCAGCCCAACATGGTATGAGAGCTATCAGGGGGAATTCGACTTATATACCAACAATGTCAATCAGCATGGCTACACAAAAGGGAAGGAGCAACTCCAACGGATCCCAGGGCACTACTCCTACTCCACCTCCTGCCTCTGGCTTACAGACAGAGGAGGGCACGGCAACAAGACCCAGAGCAACATCTACAGAGACTCCCGCAGATCATCCTGCGGACTTCGACCAGAGCATGATGGAGAAGTTCTTCTCCTTCATGTCCTTCTACGAGCAACACCAGCAATCGGCACCTGCACAATCACACAACAGCAACAACAACGGAGCAACACCCATGAGTCTCGACGGCTCATCGTATGCACGAGGAAATCAGCAAAAACAACCTACCTTTGCTACGTACGAGCGTGGATCCATCAGCTTCATGCCACACCCACAACCCTCACCTGGACAAGAAAAACAACTGGACGCATTACAAGTTCAGTCGCAGTTCGCACATGTTCTGAAGATGCAGACGTCAAGACCTTTCGATGGAAAGGATTTCTTCATCTGGTCGTTCGAGTTTGAGCTGATGATGAAAGGCGCGCAGATACTCTGGTTCTTCGACGGGTCCCTGCCATACCCAACAAACGGCACACAGTACGAGAAGTGTCAGAATATTATCTTATTGTTCTAGCCTGTAGTGGGGTGCTCTATAGCGAGTACAACCCTTCTAGGGTTTGCTATTTGTATCCTCATTCTTGCTAGTTCAATCCTCTTTCTTTCTTCTAATTTTGACATGCTATCAGAGCAGGTCGATCCCCTTGGATCGATCCTGTGGGTGTGTCCCCACCTTGCTTCCGCTGCTAATTTTTCCTCCCGCCGTGCGCCCCGAGGCGCGCGGCGGTTTTCTTCCCGCCGTGCGCCCCGAGGCGCGCGGCGGTTCATTGCCCGCTGTGCGCCCCGTGGCGCGCGGCGGGCTTCTCCTCTACGTCGCGGCCCCGCCCCGGCCCGTCGCCGCCCGTGCGCCCGCTCGACGCGGCCCCGCTCTAAGTCGCGGCCCCGCCCCGGCTCGTCGCCGCCCGTGCGCCTGCCCGGCTCGGCCCCGCCCTTCGTCGCGGACCCGCCCCGACCCGTCGCCGCCCGTGCGCCTGCCCGGCTCGGCCCCGCCCTACCTGCTCGGCCCCGCCCTTCGTCACGGCCCCGCCCCTCGAAGCGGCCCCGCCCTACGTCGCGGCCCCGCCCCGACCGTCGCGGCCCCGCCCCTTGTCGCGGCCCCGCCCTACGTCGCGGCCCCGCCCTATGTCGCGGCCCCGCCCCTCGAAGCGGCCCCGCCCTACGTCGCGGCCCCGCCCCGCTCGTCGCGGCCCCGCCCCTTGTCGCGGCCCCGCCCTCCAACCAGGCTCGTGGTGGGCCCCTTTCACCACACCGCCTCCCCCCCCCCCCCCCCCCCCCCTTGCCATTTCCCGTCGTCCGTCGTGGCGACCTGAGGGGGCCGCTTGCTGTGGGGTGGCGGGTATGGGGGTGGTCGGTGTGCCTTCCTCCCTTTCTCCTCCTCCTCCTTCGTCTCCCACTGCTGCAGCTGTCGCTGAGGGGGGTGGTTGTGTGGGAGACTGGGTTTAGGGTTTAAGGGGGGTGCGTGGGAGTAGAGCTAGTGGTGTAGCAGTGGGTGTGTATCAGGGGGGTGGGACTGTGTGCGGGAGGATGAGCGGAGGTTGCCAGTTTGTCGTCAGCAGCACCTGTAGTCCGGGGCGCTGTCCCGGTAGCCCAGTCGTAGCCAGCTGTGCCAGCCGCCCGTGGGTCCGTTGCCCGTCCGCCGCTATTTGAGCCGCGGGGCCTGTTACTCCTGTAGTCCGGGCGCTGTCCGGTAGCCGCTGTGCCAGTCTGCCTCCTGTTGCCCGTGTGTCTGCAGCTTCAGCCGTCGCCTCCTGTCTCCTCTCCCCTCACTCTCCCTCCTCCTCACTTGCCCGTTGTGACTACCACTAGCTTTGCTTATAATTGTGAACTCTAAACTATTTCTTCTTGAACTTGTGCTCAGAATGTGTGGTGACATTGTGATCCACCCTGAGCTTGTTTTGCTTTGCCTGCTCTGCTGATTACACCCTACTTTGGCTATGGGGGTGTGTCAGAATATTATCTTATTGTTCTAGCCTGTAGTGGGGTGCTCTATAGCGAGTACAACCCTTCTAGGGTTTGCTATTTGTATCCTCATTCTTGCTAGTTCAATCCTCTTTCTTTCGTCTAATTTTGACAAGAAGCAGCAGTACACCTATCAGTCAATGATGGCGTACACGATCCTACTGAGAAATATCGCCCCAACTCAACGGCAGAACATAAGGACTTACCGAGGTTACGGTAACTCCGCGGAGCTCGCGTACAACCACCTGAAGAGCCTGTATCAAGCAACAGACAGTGTAAGTCAAAGTCGGTTAATGGCACAACTGACAACGGTTGAAATGAAACCAGGGGAGAAAGGAATGGCGTATATCAGTCGATGTCGCGAATTGCGCGACAAGCTTCTTCGATGCGGAGGGTTGATTTCTGAAGACGCCTTCGTGACAGTCATCATCGGCGGCCTCGGTCCTCAATGGGGCGCCACAAAAGCCATCCTCCGAGCTCACGGAAGAATCTCCGAAGCAGCGCTCTGCGCCGAAATCCATGCCGAGCAGCAAGACATGGACCTGCAAGAAGAACGACACAAAAAGAAGACTTCAGCACCAGAGTTCGCGTTCCACACCCAGCGACGCTACAACAACAACAACAACCGGCAGCGACAACTAAAGCCAGTACCTCCGTTCTGCCACATCTGCAAAACTTCAGGACACCCGCGCACGCACTGCCTGAATCGTCAACAATCAACAACCCCGCAGCGGCAACTTCGGCCTTCAAGCAGCCAAGTCGCCTCAACGCAGACAAATCCTACGACTCAGATTCAAGCTTCAAAAACTTCAACAGGTTAACCTGCACAAGAAGCAAGAAACATCGTCAGCTGCATGACAAAGATAATAGACTCCTGCATCACCGAGTCACCACCATACTAGTCACCGGAAGAACAACTCGACGAAACCACACCCCGCCGCGAGTCACTTCAGCCAAACCCGACATACGCCGCCATCGCTCAAAGCGAACCATTCGGAAGGGACACTTGGTTCTTGGACAGTTGCTGCAGACAACACATGTGTTCCTCAAGACGCTTCGTTCAACGAGAACACCAGCTTCAACGCGAAGTCGTCATTACAGTCGCCAACAACCAAAACCTCCGAACACGACGACAAGGCGTAGTTCAACTTCAGTCAAGGGAAACAAACGTCGTACTACAGATGTCAAAGGTACTAATCGCGGAAGGATTCGGCTACAACTTACTGAGCGTCAGCCAGCTGATGGCGAAAGGGAATTCATCTCGAAGCAGACAGTACCACTCAAGAATTCAAGCTGTATCACGGGAGAGGAGGACTCTACATCGGCAGGGCGGTCCTCAAGAACAACGTCTTCGTTCTTGATTTCGTCCCTGACCTTGGCACTGCCGAGAGCGACGGCATCGTCAACTTCACCGACTGGACACACCCTCCGGACCTTGATCCAGACTTCAGTCCAGAAGGCTTATGGTACTCACACACCATCCCTGAAGCAGAAAGAACAAGGGCGTTAGCAACAATCCAGACAACATTGGCAGCAGCAGAGACAACATTGGCAGCAGTAGAAACAACATCGGCAGCAGTAGAGACAACATCGGCAGAAGCAGAGACAACATCGGCAGCAGTAGAGACAACATCGGCAGCAGTAGAACCATCAACGGCAGCAGCAGGAATGTCAACACCAGTTGCTGGTCCTTCAACGACACCACTCCTCATCGACGACACACCACCAACACCAACGCAACAACTAC